TCAACCAAAGGACTTGTATGCATGCATATAAGCCTAACCAATGGACACAGACACCAGGGGGGCGAGGGCATGAGCGGGGGTGGGTGGACAATGGGGGGTTAGGGACACATATGTAATACCTTAATAAATAAAGGAAAAAAAAGATCAATGGCCCAAATGCCTCTTTACCTTAAGAGATGAACTAATAATGATGGTGGTTGTCCATTTTATATTTTCTTTTTCAGCACTTTCAGCCATCTGTCTTTGGATCAATCCGTTTTCTAATGGTATCACAAACTAAGAAAAATGAGAGCAAAAAGAACACAAAAAAATGTTTGTTTGATAAATAAGTAAATTAAAGACAGAAATAAAACTAGGGTAATGGATACATTCTTAAAAATATCTGAAAGTCAAAATTGGACATTAAAAAACATCTGTCTTATATATATTAAACTTATTCAATATTATGCTTTCTATTAACAATTATTAAAAGCAACGATTCCCACTTCAGACAACTCACATTTTTCACCTTCAGTGTGTTATTATCTATGGGCTGGTCATACATTGCCTTTATTATACAGTCATGCACAACAAAACGTTTTGGTCAACACAGACTACATATATGGTGGTGCTCCCATACTCTATAATAAAAGGGCAATATGCAAATAGACCAAACGGCAGAACCGAACAACCAATCAAAGCATAATATGCTAATGATATGCTAAGGGTGCTCAACTGCTCGCTATGATGTGCACTTGTCATGGGGGGGGGGGGGCAGACAGGCAACTGGTCGACCAGTTGCTATGATGTGCACTGACCACCAGAGAGGCAGATGCTCCGACCGGTAGGTTAGCTTGCAGCTGGGGGTCTGGCCGATTGGGACTGAGCGAGATGGGCTGGACATGCCTTGGAGCCCTCCCGCGGTCCCTCCCTGGCCTGATCGTGCACCATTAGGGTCCCTCAGCCTGGCCTGAGCCCTCTCACAATCTGGGACCCCTCAGGGGATGTCAGAGAACCGGTTAGAGCCTGATCCCTCAGGTCATTCCCCTTGGGAGGGCACCAGACGCAGGGCTCATAACTGCTGAGTGCTGCTGCAGCAGCGCAAGCCTCTCCCGATCAGGACTGATCGGGCACAAGTCCGCGGCAGGCAAGTGGGGCCAGGATGAGTGGGATCAGCAGGTGGGAGCTGCAGGTGGTGTTGGACTGCAGATTTCGGACCGATCCCTGCAGGCCACCCAGAGGGACCCCACCTGTGCTCAAATTCGTGCACCAGGCCTCTAGTAAGATTATAATAGAACTGAAAAATTCCTATCGTGTAGTGATGTCATAACCACTCTTTGGTTTTGCAACCACAGCATAAAGTTTGCAAAAATCAACAAGGCTGTGGTGACATGGCAAACAACTTTAACCTGGGTATGGACGACGGTGACACTGAGGAACTCCTAGAGGTGGTTCCTAAGGAATCGACTACTGAGGAGTTGTCCAAACAGGCACAGGGACACATCACTAAAGAAGATGCAAGAAAAAAGGAAACTGCAGAAAAAGAAAAAGAACCTCCAGAAAATTGACAGTGAAGGCTTTAGCAGAAGCTTTTACATAGCTCAACAAGCCCCCTAAAAAGTTTAAAGCATGGACTCCCAACACCAAACGGTTTTGATTAATAGAAAAGAATGTTTGTGGTACCTTATATACTTATAAACAAATCTATGATAGAAAAGAGAGAAAAACTAAGCAAACCATTATAGATGTATTTCTGAAAAAAGTGACATCTCCTTAAGAAGAGGAGCAACTTCCAATCCTACAAGCTCCATTCATAGTAAGTGCCCTATACAGGTGGTACCATTTTTTAATCTTTTATTCTATACTAGAGGCCCGGTGCACAAAAATTTGTGCACTGGCAGGGGAGGTGGGGTGGGGGTGTCCCTCAGCCCCACTTGTGCCCTCTCACAGTCTGGGACCCCTTGGGAGATAACCACCTGCTGGCTTAGGCCCACTCCCCGGGTGGCAGAT